CTTTTTTATGTTTTAATTTAAATGCCAGAGTATTTAATATTGTACATTTTAACATTTTACAGCTATGGAAAAATGCTTGAAAGCTCTTCCAGTTCTGACAGCTGTATCAAAGCAAACATAGGCTATGGCTCACCTGGATGCGGATGACACCAAACACCATAAGAACAAGGACAGCCAAGGTGCAAAGGAGGCCGAGGGTGTAAAGACAATAACAAATGTCATCAAGATGTTACCAAGATGTTGGTAAAAACATAAAATTAATAAATACACTAAAATGGCCACAATTATTATTTTTTGCAATATTTCCAGCAGAGTAGCCCCTCCAATTATTGTTTCTTAGGATCAAAATTAACAGAAAAATCACAAACAAAAAGTATGGCAGACCATGTCAGGTTCAACCCATTTTATTGAGCTTTTGAGACTTTGGCTCCTGACTAATATCACTCTGCCTCCATGATACACTATAATGTGGTGCTAATGTCTCCATCTTGTTCCTCCTCACCTCCTCTGGGAGAGAAACTGAGAAGATCAATATGGCTGCCCCCCCCTCCCATTGTCTGGTAGATGGACTCCTGGGTTTGGTCTAGAGTTACAGAGGAGGGCTCAGACAGACCCCACCTGTCTAAGCACTTAGCTCTGTGTGAGAGCCATAAATGACTTTCTTTGCTTGTGAATGATCCTCTTAAATTATTTAATCCCTATAAATAGAGTTTAACACATGYTTGATGAAGTTAGACACCCCCCTTTCTTGCTTAAGAAGAACAAAACAATCATTTAAACACTAAAAAATCCTCATGTTGCTGTCAGGTTTACAAATCCAGGCAGTGAGGGATGATCTCATCGTGGTGTAATGTGATTCTGTGGAATATCAAGACGACCAGATTCATCTGAGTGTCAGGATGCATGTGTCCAGTTTCAGTCAGAGCCTGATTCTGAATGGGGAATGTGAAGCTCTTGTTGTGTTGCACGCAGGAAAGTGAATATGATTTTGTGAGAAATAAAATATGAGACTTAACCAAGAGAAATTAAACTGGATGAGATAAAGATAGTCTTTGACCTCTGCTTGTGTTATATAACGTTTTCAGAAAGTACAGGCACYTTGTAGGATGCTGGATACTTACATTGTCATAATCTCTGTGTTTTTGGTTATCTGTTGTCATTTAGTTTATTTAGTTTTCATGTTTCCCTGTTTCTTGTTTCTGTTCATCATGTTTCCTGCCATTTCTCATTTTCTCCTTCTGTCTGCTCTCAGTGTTTTTCCATTCTATCAGCCACTCTCACCTGTTGTCATTTCCCGATCAACCCAGCTGCCTTACATGTTTTTTCAGTCTTGTCACTACCACATCAGTGCTACATTGTCCTAGCTGATATGCATAAACTAAATAGCTTCCATCTACCCAAACTTCAATACTGTGCTAATAATTTTACATTCTCTATAGCTGCCCTTCCACCACTATTCATCACATGTTGAAGTGTCACTGGGCAAGAYACTGAACCCCCACTGCCTCTGATGTGTGTCCCATCAGTGTATGAATGTGATTTAAACACTGATARTAGATTGATTTAACTGTATTAGCTTTGTAGAGAGATCTAGTAGGGTGTGAATGGCCAGTGTAAAGCACATTGAGTATCCTGGTTGGACAGAAAGTCACTATATAGGTACAGTCCATTAATCACTTACACCTTATTAAAGGTGTTGATGATAAACACTGATGCACTTTTATCACTATATGGGAACCATTAGTGGTCTGCAATAAGTAACTACAGGGCCAGTATCACTGTTGGAGGGTGTTTTTGGACAAAATCTGAGGTCGTAGTTGTGGAGAGGAGGGTGTCTGCTTTGGAAACTTCAGTCTCAAAACTGCTTTTTGCAGATATTTTTTTGCATTTCTCAAGCCTCAAACTCCAGTGTGTGCTGGGGTGGTTTCTAGTTGAGTGGGAAGCAACTGAAACTCCAGTCAGCTTCTCTCGGTCTGAGATCATGGTTCTCAACCTGGGGCCTCATGTCTAAACGGTGCGTACGCTTAAAAAGTTGCGTGCGCCAGGTTCTACGCCCACGTTGGGATGTATCAAAACCAATGTTGTGTGAAACTGTGCGAAAATATATGCACACTTTTCACCTGCCATGAGAATGTGTGGCAGCCACACAAAGTTTTTCAATCGACAGTTTTAACCCACAACGTCATGAATGTGACCTGAATCCACAGAACTATGTCTCTGTTGTGTTTTCTGGATGTAAGGAGTGTCTGAACATGGATTTTTTTTTTTAGTTTGAGTTTTAGGAAACAGTTTGTACAGATAAATGGTGTAAGATCTAAACTTGGTATTATCACGTGTGGAGTCCCTCAAGGCTCTGTACTGGAACCTAAGTTATTCGTTTTAAATGTGAATGACTTAGTAAATGTGTCAGGACTTTTCAAATGTGTTTTATTTGCTGACGATACAACATTTTTTTGTTTAGGTAAAGATATAGAAAAAATGTTTGTGATGGTACAGAAAGAAATTGAGAACATACAAAATTGGTTTCAACAAAACAAAGTATCATTAAATTTGGATAAAACAAATTACATGATATTTAGTAACAGGAAGRYAAMTGTTGATTTCTCATTTAAAGTAGATGGTATTGAGAYCTGTAAAGTCAGTGAGGTGAAATGTCTGGGTGTCATCATTGATGACAAGCTGACACAGAGACCTCACATACATTATTTAAAAACAAAAATATCTAAATCTATTAGAGTACTGTATAAAGTCAGGGAGTTATTCATTGACAAAGCTCTGCTTGTGTTGTACAATTCAATAATTTTTCCACATTTAATTTACTGTATTGAAGTCTGGGGTAAAGCTTGCAAAACGATTACAAATCTGATTTTTGTTTTACAGAAAAAGAGCCGTAAGAATTATCACTAAAAAAGATTACAACCATCMGTCAAATACATTATTTTGCAAACTGAAAATTTTGAAATTCTATGATTTGGTTGATTATAKTATTTTACTGTTTATGTACAAGTCTCACAGAAATGTATAACCTTCCAACATTCAGGCAAATTTTGTTAAGASAGWCAGTTGTTATTATCTTACGGGGATGGAAATGTTTGTGAAACCATATTTTCGTACTTGCTTGAGAGAAAGATGTACTTTAATCCAGGGTGTAGGATTATGGAATGGTCTGGAGGATGATCTTAAAAATGCCAGATCTATGTTAAAAGACAGTTAAAAGCTAGTTTTCTGAAGGTATATGGAAAAGTAAGATGAGAAGCTATTTGAG